ATTTTATTTGTACACATGTAAGGGAAAAAAGATAGAAGGAAATTGGAGTTTAGAAGAAATGGTTGAAGGACCAAATTGCAAGAATAGAAAGTTTGATGGAACAAAAGGTAAATAAGGAAAAGTTGAGGACTTTGGTGCAAATGCCATATTTGAAGCTCAGTGGACATTAACTAACTAAAGGAAGTTAGATTATGTAAGACAATAAAATGTGCATGTAAAATTCACTATTACATGCAAGTGATGGCATACTTTTATTGCATGCCAAACAAACACTAATTGAGTATCGACAGACTAGCTTTTGTCAATGTTTTATTGGAAAATTACATTGATGTTGTCTATTGAAAATCCATCGATAATCAATCAGAATTTACCGATAGAGTATTACCGACAAAAACATTTATGTTGTGGAAGCTTGAATTTCTTGCAATGAACTTCATTGATCTCTGCTGCTACTCTGGCTGCAATCACAACATGTAATATAGTGATCACAACAATAATGAGATGACAAACCATAATGCATTGACAAAAAACATTACAAAAATCAAACTAAAAAGTTGATCAATTAAGAAGACATACCATTCTCTTTGATGTCCAACAAAAGGTAAGGAACCACCTATGTGTTTTGGTGTATCGCCTTCCTTCACTGTCAAGTAGTTCTACTTAGCCTTTTACAGTAGGTGTAGTCACTCTTTGGTGCCCCAAAGGTCATCGATTAGTTGCGTCTAGACTTTTGCAGTGATCCATAGTTGAGATATCCTTTTCGTCTTGATGATGTTTTTGTCATGGGCCTTATTTTGTATGGGCAACATGTCAAACAAGCAATTAGACATTTGAAATTGTACCTTTTATTAGAATCAACGTGCCTTCGTTCAAACTCTGGGTGCTATCATTAGATGCGGGACACATGGTATATGGAAGTCAAAACTGACACATTTGATCATTTAGCTTCTGGAAAAGGAAGGTATTCAATGGCATGAAGAGAACTGTGGAACTTTTCTAGTCAAGCTTGATGGACATAGGGAGATCAACTTTTTAGATTCGAATAGTGACACTGAGTGTCTTAATTAATGTAATATCAGCCGCGGGTTTTCCTTATCAGCCTATGTTTGTGTAAGAATTACTAAGATGTAATGTAAAAGGTTAATGTAGTATTGTAACAACAGGTATTAGATGTTAGTATATATGTTTAAAACTTTTTTATCTTGGTGAAGGCCTCTTAAAGATTAAGTTTCCTTGTTCATATATGTTGAGTTTAGCTAAATCATGTATTTGACTCAATTCTTGGTAATGACAAAGACACATGAAAGATTGTAAATTCCCAAAAAAAAGAAACAATTTGAAAACTTCATATATATATATATGTAAAAAATTATCAGCAGTAATCTTGATTGGTATTATGAGGAATAATTTATATCACCTAAATAATTCATAAACTATTTTCCATATCACCTAAATAATTCATAAGCTATTTTTCATATCACCTAAATAATTCAAAAGTTATTTTTCATATCACCTAAATAATTCGTAAGCTATTTTTTGGTTTGGCTAATTAATTCATATCACCCAAAACTTTTGAAATATAGACATATACGCTTCTTGAGTTATTTGAGCTGGTAAAAAAAAATAGCCATGATTATTGTTTTAATGTGTCACAACTTCATGGATGGGGTTTTTCCCAGATTGGTGTTATGTACCTTTTGGACATAGGTGTTTTCCCAAGTCCTTTTCTGATCCATGCATTCGAATCAATTTGTATCACTTTGACACTTAATAAAATTTAACATTTGACAAAAAAAAAAAGATTTTACCCTGAATTATGTGTTGTCCATATTGCACAAAAATTCCCAAGAATTGTCTTTGTTTTATTCTTTTTTAGAGACATATGGATTATCTTTGTTTTAGTAGTATGTAAATTCGATAGGTTGTCAATAAAGATGAAACTTGCAACAAATTGGATGTTTCTTTCGGTAAATCAATGGAATTTAGAATCATTAATTTAACAAATTCTTTGTGAATAGTTCCCTAA